GTAATGTGGGGTATTCACGTATGCAGACGCTCATGCAGAGCACACACTCCCTTTGAGGTTGTATGCGTGTTAATCCCTTATGGAAAACTAAATGGTTTAACTAAATGATTGCCCTGCAGCCCCTGGGAACGCTGCCTTGGCCAGAGAGTGCAGGAGGGGTGGCAGGGCAGGGGGGGGTTAAGCCTGCTGGGGGTGGGAGGAGGAAGGGCTTTTAAAATTTTACATGTATAAATACTGTATATAGAGAGTAATATCAATTTCATATGCAATAATATAAATTTTGTATGTGAAATTTTCTTTCTTCTTCCTGTAATAGTAGACCTGAAGATCAGATGATAAGGGCGAAAGCTGTAGATGGTGGGGGTACGTGTGTGAAGTAGAAGCAAATCTGGTAGATGTTTGAACTCCTGGAGCAGTTGCTGGGGGGTGTGTGTTCTGCCCCTTTCCCATGAATCCAGGCTGTTGCTCTCTGGCTATCCTCCACCCAGGTTTTCTAAGCACACTTGTGTGTGTGTGTTGGGGGGAAGATAAGACAAAATGACAGCTGTGCGAGACCATGATTTTTCACTCCATTATCCTGCTTCTTGCTTCCACCCCCTCGCCCCGGAGCATTTTTTAGATTCCCCTTTGGAGCCTGTTGCTTAATCAGCTAGAAGGGCTGTTGCCTCGTTGTGTGAGAAACCCTTCTTAACCTGGCTCCTGCCTGTCCCAGAAGGGTGGGACCAAATTTAGGCTTGGGACTGTGGTGTTGCAGAGGAGTAAGTGCTGTGCCCTGGTGTGGAGGGGACCGTGCTGGGACCTATTGTCCGTCCTCTGCAGCTTGCTTGGCTGTGCTTGCCCCAGCTGGGAGTTGGACTCGAGTTGAAGTGCTTGGGGTTTGCAGGCCTGGGCAAACGTGGCCATGAAGGAAGGAGGTTTGAGAGCTGTGTTCCTCACTGTGGTGTGACGGGTTCCTGGGGACAGAGACCTTTGATCGTTTATTGGAGTAGGAGTGTAAGCAAGTCAGATGTATGTTAATGTGGTTATACAGAACAGCAGGCAGCGGATAAAAATCATGTCTGTTTGCTGCGCCCTCACCCAGGTACGCCTGCCTCCTGGTTCAGTTCCCAAGGCTCTGCCTACATTCCTCGTAGTAAGAAAGTCAAAAATAGCCACAGGGTTTTGTAGACTTTAGACACACACAAACCCACATGCATAAGTAAATACTAGGTGAGGGGACTCCACCTCTAAGTGTTTTGTGTGTGGTTTCTGGTGACTGGAGCTCTGCTTTCAGGGTTCACAATGTCCCCTGAATGCCTTGATAGGATTATTTCCCTGTACGTCTCTGCAGCCCGTCCATTCCTCTTTCTGTAATCCCGTCTCCTGGGGCAGGAGAAGCAGCTCTGGGTTTATAGTATGCCCGAAATCCTGTAGCTGGGATTATTTTTCTGTGCTTGTACCTTACAAGGCTGTTCCTCCTTTCCTGCAGTGGTGCTTCCTTCCCACTGAGCTCCAGCAAGGGAAAGTTCCTCTCACCTACTTGTGAAAACATGAATCATTCCTCACCTTTCCTGTCCCCAACAGGCTCTGTGTCTGCATTTTGTACGCTAATAATGTGGCATTGCATAAATTAGGAGTGTGGCACGTCCCTCTAAAAGGAGACGTGTTGACTGTCTCAGGAAGAGCTGTGGTTCCTCGAATAAGTTGGTGGCTGTGGAAGGGGTGAGGGGAAAGGGGCTGTTAACAGGGGAGCTGCTAGAACAGTGTTTGACCAAGGTGTTTGCAGCAGAAATTGAGGTTGCAGGGAGAACAAACTCTGTGGCTGTGGTCCTTCCACCTAGTTGGTTTTCTGTGGAAGGTGAGTAGGCTAAGCCTGGGCATGTTGATGGAGTATAGCAGGTCAAAGGGTTGGCTAATCACCTCGGGTAAAGGGGTGAGGAAAGGCCTGAGCTGCTAAAACCGAACAGCCGGCACACCTAGGTAGGCAGTAGCAACGGAGAGGCTCGGGTAGACCAAAAGAGGTTGTGATCCCATCAGCAAAAGCGTGTGGAGATAAGCAAGTGGCGTTCCTAGTCAGTGCGGGCCTTGTCTTGAAGGGTTCAGTTCAGTCATGTCTCCTCCCTGTCCCCTGTGCGGGCCCCTGCCTAGGGGCAGTGGAGTCGCTTGCTCCTGGCAGTCTGTCTGTCTCTCCCAGCCCTTGGGTCCTGTGCTTCACTGCCACCAAGGTACTGATCTAGGGCTGGGCCAGAGTGCGCTCCTTCTCAGAGTTTTTGCTGCCCATCCCTTCTGGTGTCTCGAGTGGTTGCCACTGTCTTGGTGCCAGGTGCTGTAGGTTACAAGGAACAGTGCCATCTCTTGTCACAGTAGTGTGAAGTGATCACCCACTGAAGCCTTCTTAGGAGGGATTTCCTGCCCCACCTCACCTCAGTCTCTGAACGAAATGGTGGGGAAGAGATTCAATCCTTCTTCATTCTTGTAATGGAAACATGGAAAACATACTTGAAAGGGTCATGTTCCTGCAGCGTTTCTAGCTCATGCTGTCCCTGGACTTCTGGGAGATCAGGAAGGGTGACAGAGGCCATGTAGGAAGTGAAGTATTTCAAGATTAAAAATTGTATCCAGCCTCTGGGTGAAGTGGAGAAGTCTCTTCTGTGGTGTTACATGATTCACTTCCTGTTTCTGCTCTGACACTGCTGTTTCTCTGCTTCTTTTCTCAGCACGACTGAACCATGGAGCTTCGAGTGGGGAACAAATACCGGCTGGGCAGAAAGATTGGCAGTGGTTCGTTTGGAGACATTTACCTAGGTGAGTATGAGTCTCTGTCCTTCCACCTGCAAGGTTGTTTTTCTCAATTGTGTCATTGTTTTGTGGTTGTTTTTCTTGCTTGTTGATATTTGTGGGCACTGTGTAAGGTTGGAAGTGGTGGAGAGAAAGAGCTTCAAGGAATACTGCTAGTTGCTGCCGGTCTTCTGCAAAGAAAGTGGGATGAGTTCAGCTTTGCCTTGCAGGTATTGGAGAGACAGTGATGTTTGATCAGATTGATTTAAATTTGGACTATTCAGGGCATATTTGTCATACACACTACTCCAGCTGTCTCGCTTCCTCTTCTTGAGCTTGGATGTGTGGGGGTGTAAACTTTGTAAAGAGTGGGTGGTGGAAAGGGAGGAGGCAGTTGTTCCTTCAGGGTAGAAGGAATAAAGTTTTGGGAAGATTAGTAGTGGAAGAGATGATACAGAACCTGTGAGAGAGAAATCTGAGACTGGGAGGTGTAAAACAGGTGAGAGAGGCTGGCCTCATTGGTGCCCAGATCTATTAGATCTATAATGGGATTTACAGTTAATGTCTGGAATGACCTGAGCTGGGAGCTCAATGGACAGAGCCCATGAAATGCTGGGTTTCCTCTTACCACAGCAGGTCGCCTGGGGAGATATTCTTCTAAGCTAGCATGCTGATGTGTAGACGTGTTCCCTGATACTTTGCCTGCTGATGTTTTTTATTGGCTCAAATGATGTGGGACCAGAGTGGTGAGACTATCCAGTAGCCTGATTGATCCCTCCATGAGAGCTGGCATGGCTTTTCCTGTCATCTTGTTCTCACCACTACTTGTTTAGCTGTAGTCCTGCAGGCCAGCAAAGTGATTGTGCGCTCCCTTCTTGGCGTTTGCACCCTTTGGATACTTACAGATGGTCATCATGTGTTCCTTGACTGTTCATTTGCTTAGTCGAGTTGTATTTTGCTTCCTGATACATCCACCACTCCTCACGCTTGTTGCTCCTTCAGTTTTTCCCAGTTTGTCCATCTGCTGAGCAACTTGGAGCCTACACAGCATTCGAGGTGTGGCATTTCCAGTGCCAGGCAGTGAGTGAAGGGCTACCCTTCAGTGATCTGTAATGCGATGCCTCTGCATAGACTGCTTTGGGTCTCCTTGGCTTCCCCCATCACCAACACTGTATCAGGTTGCAGAATTGGCCTTAGCACCATGTCAGCTGTATTGTAGGAGATCTCTTCTATGTTCTGCAATGTCTTCCCATCCCTCCTCGAGTTCCTTTCGTTGAATACCTCTAGTTCAGATTACTTATCCCCGTGTTTGTAAATCACCTTCTGTTTTCTACTTCTGGCTTTTATCTCCAGTTCTCTCTTGCTTCATTATTCTTTCTCTTGATTGGTGTTGGCAGCCTCTCTTGATTAAGTATCCTGTGGGAATCATCAGTAACAGGCTTTGTTGCCACCTTTACCCAGAGCATGAGCAGAGATCATAAATAATGTTTCTGGGATCCCAGTTCCACCATGTGCTGCCTTCACTGCAGCCTACTCCTGTATGTCACTTCTCTGTGGCCCTCCAGCCAGTTAGCGTCTCGGGTGACAGTGCCTTCAGTTCCCAGGTGCTAGAGATTGAGAGGTGGTAGCCTGGACACAGCATTTGCCACCTATGCTAGGGCTTGAAGCGTTCCAGACGCTCTCTAGGACTGTAGAAGTTGTCAGGATCTTGCAAAACGTCTGGGAAGTGTGTGGAGAAAGAAGGGAAGTACTGAATGGAAAGGCCTCTGCATCACATAACAGGTCATACCCCTGTGCAAAGGGGACATGGAAAACACGGGCTGTGGTGAAGGGGTTGTGCCTACTTTGTCTGTAACCAAACAATGTGAGAGGCAGAGGAAGCCCCAGTGCTCTGGTGTGGTGAGCACAGCGGGATGCCTCCAACTGCCCGAGTTCAACCAAGTTACATGAATGCAGTATCAAAGCCCTTGTGATGTTCATTGAGGTGCAAGCCAGTGTGTTTTGAAGCAGTGATAGCGAGACTTCTTGGAGCCTGGGTGACTCCCCAGCCTGGAGGGATGGGGCACGTAGTCTCTGATGGTGCGTCTGGAGAATGCTTGCGTTCATGCTATCCTCTCATGGTCTGTTCTGCAGACAGAGGGACTCCTTCACAAGGACTTGTGTCCTGCACCAGATTCACCTCGCAGTCCTCTCTTGATAATGGTGTGGAGACGGTGCAGAGACAAACAAGCCTTGTCTGTCTCTGAATGGGAGTGTGGTCTGTATGGTTTGTTCCAGCTTCTCCCTCTTAGGTTGTTAGTGTCTTGACCTACTCTGTAACCAGTGGGTGCTGCGTGCCGTGCTCTTCGGGGATTTGCTTGTGGGTTTTCTGTCAGGAGGAAACTTGAATTTCCACATGGGCAGACAAAAAGGATGGACTCCTGTTAATCCTCAGCTGGGGCTTAAAGCACAATGCCTCGCTTCCATGTGCTACCTTGGGGGACAGATGTGATTCCCCGCATGTTGGCAGGGTGGGAAATGAGATCCAGCTGCCTTGGGACTGGGCCTACCCCATTTGCTTCTAAGAATGCTCACTCAGAGCAAAACCTGGTTTGCAGAAGAATTGCAGAGACCTTTGGGCCATCAGAGGATCGGTGCTTTGTCAGAGGTGTTGGCCGAGAAGCAGGGCAGGGTTGCTGGATTTGGTACGAATCGGCGGCAGGGCCTGGATGTGCTGGAGGGGACGCTGACGGTGGAGAGGAGCTGGGAACGGCGGGGCAGACAAAGCTGATGGGACTTGCCGTGGCTGGGGACAGTTCCTGGTGGCAGGCTCCTCCCTTTCTGGGAGGGGAGTGCCTTCCCTTTGTTTCCTGGCCTGTTAACTCTCTCTCGCCCTATCTGACTTCTTCCATCTGTTCCCAGCCCTCCATTCTTCCCCCACCCACCAAGCTGGGGAGAGGGGAGTGGGCAGCGGGGAGAGCGGGGAAACATGCCTGTTGGCTTGCCTGATGCGCAGTGAGGGCGGTGTTTATTGTACCAGACATGCAGCAAGGCTTCCACTCCAAAAAGATCCTGTTTAGCCGGTGACATCCTCTGTCCCCAGGGCCCCGTTTCAAACAGCTCGTGATGAATGAGTTGAATTTGTGCAGCCCCCACAGCGGAGCGAGACTGGGGGTGGATGTTAGGAATTATCCCCAATCCTACGTACGTCTCTCGAGTGGCTGAAGGCAGAGCAGGCAGGCTCTGCTGCGTTTGTCTGAAGTGCGGTGCTTTCCAGTCTGGAGAGGGAGCAGAGAACTGTTGCTTTTGTACTTGTATCTTTAAAAAAGATGGTGGTTAAAGCATGGAACCAAAGGGTCGAAGAGACTCCTGCCCTTGAATTCCTTCTTCTTGCAGTAGTCTTGGTCTGGGTAGATCTGTAGCCAAAAATCGGTAGAGGGAGCAGCCGCCTGACGACATATGGGGGTTTGGGCAGAGAGGGAGGTGAGCCCAAAGTGTTCCATTGGTGACTCCCTCAGCAAAGAGTAGCTCCTCATTAGGTCTGGTAGGTCCTACTTTTGCTGTCCCAGGCCACAGGGTTGTTTCTTTTTTTTTCCTAAGAGACTGACACCTATGTTTGGGCTATGGAGAGTGTGGGGGAAGGCCATGTTGGTAATTTGAATGGCATACTCACATTTTGCAGAATCAGAGTTTTCTTGATGCTTAACCTCCTCCTTTTTTCTACTTCACATGCTCACTGATAACACTCTCCATCTGCAGACGGCCTAGTACATGGATGCGTTGTCATCTTCCTGAACACATGGGGTAACGTGGAGATGAGAACTCATTCATCTTTCCACTGTTCGACTTTGGGGAGTACGGTCCATTTCAAATGCTAATGCTACGGCTGCCTAAAGTCAGCAAGACTTATCATTGCGTGTGTGTCAGCAGATGGACTAGGAGAGGGAAAAATACCCCCAGGAAACGGACAAGGGAGCTGCTGCAGAGCATTTGGAGGGAAGTCTTCACAAAGGCACGGGAAAGAGAGAAGGGAAGGATGTGCTCTTAGCTATTTGGATGTCCGGCGTGTTTCCATGCTGAATAAGGGCCAGTGATTGAAGATTAGTTTAAAAGGTAGATACTAGTCCGAGGCCACTTTCTTACTGTGATCTGAGCCCCTTTGCCTGATCTTTTCCTCCTTGCACTCCTGATGCTTGTAAGAAGGGCCCTGTGGTGGAGTGAAGGGAACGTACAGACTTGCTTTGCTGGCCAGCAGTTTTTAAGTGGAAAACGTCAGCATCTTTCCAAAAGTAACCATTGGATAAATGGCTCTAGCTCTCAGGATGGCTTTTTCCTTTTCCCTTCTCCTGGCTCTTGTGTAAAACCCCCTTATTAAATTCATCCCATTTCTTCTCCTTCCCCTCCCTCAGAACACCCTAAATAATTCCTCTCCCTCCTTAGTGTTTACAGCCTTCAAATATTTGCAGGCTGTTGTCATGTCCCATTCTTCCTCCCCACCCTTCTTAGTTGTATCTCTTGTCTATGTTACATATTTAGCTCTTTTAATCTTTCTTGGTAAATCAGTCCCTCTAGGCCCCAATCGTTTTTGTTCCTCTCTTACAAATTCCTAGCAGCTTGTCTGTCTCTACCCGGGGCTGTAGTATCTAGATGACGTCTTTTTGCTAGCAGGCAGCTCTTGGCCAACTTTGCGTACAAGCCAGAACTCTTCAACAGGAGGTTGATCTCCTTAGGATCCAGGGGTAGAAAGAGATCCAGTTGTGTGACCATTTCTTTTTTCTCTGTAGTCCCTGGCTCTGGAGGTGGTGTGTGAAAGGATGGTTGGAAAGATCTATCTGCAGCTGTCCTTGTGGACTCTGAAAGTATTATCACAGGGATCAGAGGGCAGGAATTAACCAGAGCTACCAAAACTAACTGTAGGATATCTACGAAACATCACCTTTGACTCCATCTGCTGATGTTTGGCATGCATGTTCTGGAGTAGTTTATTTTATGACAGTGTTCATAAGCTGCTCATGATCAGAGCTGCTCTCTGATTTGTGTTTGAGTGCATCTTCTAATAGTTCTGGATACGAGGAAGGGCTTGTCCGTGTGTGCGAGGCAGGCATGGGAAGGAGG